GTAGTTACGATGGTGGCTACAGTGGTGGGCGCGGTGGTGCACGCGGTAAAGGTACGCATTAGCGTTCCTTCTCTATTTTGTATTCCCGAACGTGTCCTCTACTTTATTAGCAAAAATCCAATTTCTAAATTCACATTCATTCATCAAATATTTTTCATCAATCATACTACTTTGCATCTTATTTTTGTTTATGTTCTTCCTTCATCATTTCCCTTTATTTTCTTTCTTAAGTATGTGTGTACATGTACGTGTGAGCATATGAAATTTTTATATTTATAATTACGATACTAATAAGAATAAATTTTCAGCAGTTATGGATATATATTATTAAGTGTATCTGTATACAAATACTTTATTTTTATCATTTTTAATAACATTTTTATTTTATTTTTTTCTTACTATATTATTTATGAATTAATATCTATTTATTTTAATTTCTTTAACCACTTTTCAGAAATTTGTATGTAATTGAAATATTTTATATAATTTGATATTTTTTTTATACATACAAATATTTTTTAATATATTCTTAATAGTATCATAATTATCTAACAATTTTAATAATAAATTTGTAAGCACAAAAAATATTTATTAATTTAAATAAAAAATGCATATAAATTCATAATTTATATTCACAAATGAAACTAAAAAAAAAAATAATACAATTATAGAAAAAAAATTAGTTTAAGCTATAATATATTAATTTATACATTATTCATAATTTATTTGAATTAATTTAAATCTTTATGCTTAATTTAAATGCTAATATTTTATTTTAAATAAATAAATATATTTTTCACACATCTCTTCAATATATAATCAAATATTTAATTGTTATAATATCACTAATGATATAGAAATATAAATTAAAAAGTTTCATTATTTAAAATTTTTCATTTTTAAGATTTAAAATTAATATACTATACTATTATATTTCTTTTTGTATATGAATATATCTTTTTGTATATTTTTTTGTGTATATGAAATGTGTATTTTTAGATGTTTTTCTAAAAAAAATATATATATAGGATTATATTATTTGATTATATATTTTGTGCATACAACACAACATAATTAAAATTAAAATTAATGATTAATTAAAAATTATTTTTCATGCTGATACTAAACTCATTTCATCTTTTTCATTTTTCACATCCTTAACCTTAAACATTTCTGGTTATTCAAAGCAATTTAAATTATAATATTAATGATATATTAAATTATGTTTTGATAATAGTATATAAGAATTATTAATATAAGTTTAAAATAAAGTCTTAGCAAAATAATTGTAAATTATTTAAGTAAGTTGAAATTTTTTAAGTATACAGTGTAGCAATATGAAGATTTCAGTATTTCAGCATATGCAGATCCCAGAAATGTGTAAGGAGAAAAGGAGAGTATGAATCAGAACGCAGCCTTGCAGCTTACTACCTTAGCCTGTAGCCTCTATGTAGATTCTTCGTAGTTTTATATCCATTACGTTAGTCTGTATATCTATATATATTATTTCGTACTTTATTCTGTTATTAATAGAAGTGTGCGTGCGGTAATTTCTACAAATAAATCGTTTTGTAGTTAATCTTTTCTAATTTCTCCAAAAAAAAAAGAAAAGAAAAAAACTACGGGAAGAAGAAAGCGGAGAGATATATCCAAGTTGCTGGACTAACGTACATCGTGGATATTGTTTCAGGAGGCTCAGGCTACGGCGGAAAGCAGAGGGGAGGTGGTCGTCAGAACCAAAGGCACCAACCCTATTAATGGAAATCATTCATTGCGACCGCAATGCAATTCGCATTGTAACCGCTGGTGAGTCATCATAGCTTCCTGACATCTATAAATTCAACAACCTTTCTTTTCCTTTTCCAGTGTCATTTATGTTGAGCATTATCAATGATTTCATGTGGTTCCATAATAAAGATATTTGTAATAATATAAATATTATATATAAATAATATAATAAACATTTAAATATTTATTCTTCTTTTCAGGTTTCCTATCTCATCACTCGTTAAATCATCATTCCATTAAACCACGTCACTTTCAGCAAGATTTTCAACAACGCAGACTACTGCCGCAAAATAAAATGAATCATCAGGAGTCACGACAAAAACTGTAATAGCTTCATATTTTGCGTCTAGCAATACATCTGTATTATGGAGACAACAAAAGCAAACATATATACATATATATATTATATATATATAGGTACACAATGCTTTCTTCCATCTCTCGTTTACCCTTTTGTACAAAGTGAAAAATACTTCATATTTCACATTGGTCTCTTTCCTCATTTCATCTTATTTATCACTAATTTTTTACTGTTAGTACGTTACGTTGTTCAACGTAAGGCAATTTTGTAACATAGTACGTTTGAAAGATATTAACATTATATGCTGACATAAATATAAATACAGCATAATGATTATTTCAAATGTATGGATGATTACATCGATGATATGCCTTACGATGACATATTGTAACGTAATATTTTTGTGCAAATGGGAAAGCAAAAGATGATAGGAAATAATTTAAATACAGATATATTAGGAACAATCAAGTTTCTCATTCATCGCTTGGGACTATTAAAAGATAACCTGTCCCTATTTTTAACATTAAGATTATTTTAATTTGTCTATAAACTAAACTTAATAAGAGGAGATCCACTATAGAAGAGTAAGCAGGCAATGTACTTTTTACACGGCTACGATAAGACAAAAATGAAAAGTACCGAGTTGTTTATAATGATTGTGTGAGGTATGAAATAAGAGGTAAAAAGATTATTGCTTCCTTATTGATAAGAAGAATAGGATAAAATAAATTCATTTTGTGTACATAATATATACCGCGTATGTTTGTATTTGTGTTAACCGATCCTAATAATTTAATTTTTGGAAAATGATATGTACACAATATTTCATTAAAATATAGTGATAAACATCTATACATTAGATTTAAATAAGACTGACACGAGGATTTAGTGAATTTGTATTACAAACAATATTTTGCTGATTCTACCACAGTACATGCATCGAGCTAGGTATTCTTTCAGTTTTTATTCTACACTCAAGAACAACACATGTACATTATATTTATATATCGATAGTTTCATTCTAGGCAAAGAACATCGTAATAAGATTTTTAAACTAAAAGAAAATATTGTATTTTTCTCAAATTCAACACTGTTCTATGTCACAAAAGTATTACATTAAAAAAATTAGACAAAAAATAATATTGCCTTTTTTTAATTTCACAGTTTAAAATGAAATGTACAAAATGCATTCTCAATAATATTAAATATTTTCATTGAATAGTATTGTATAAATTTTTATTGTCTAATTAAATTGTAGAAAATAAGATATATTTCAATTAAATTTTCTATTAATTAAGAAAGTATATTTCAATTTATTAAGTTTTATAATTTTTTATATGATTCATTAAACGATATTTTTTGCTTACTAATTTCTATTTAAAAAATATAAAGAATTTCTATCTTGATGTGTATATAAAATGGGGAATTTGATATTTTTACTTATCTTGTATTACAAAATATTTTGATCATTAAAGAATTTTTTAACAGCTTTAATTACAGAATAAAATTTTACAAAATTCAATTGTATGAAAACATATACAAAATAATATTAAAATAAACTATGAAATTTATTTTTAGGAGAATAATATATAAAAAATCAATTTTAAAATATTTGTTTTCCCCGCGTAGAAAAGAAATGTTTAAGATAATTTTCATAACATACAATTTAAGTTTGTTTCACTTATTTGTAAAAATTCTTTGGTATGTAAATTTTATGAGTTTTTCATTTGTGTACTTTATATAATTAAATGTATTATGTATTCTAATACTTTGTTTTATTATAATTAAACCTTAAAAATCAATAATTTTTAATGTTTAAATGTTTTAATATGTAATTAAATAAAATTATTGAAAACATTTTTTCATTATGAATTATTATAAGTATTATAAATTTTTATTCTTATAAAATATTGTATATAAAAAATTAAAAATATTGTTTGTGGAATCTAATTTTGTTTATTTGTTTAAATATCTTTATTAATTTTTATTTTATTGTTTAAAATTGTTCGTTAAAATTTACAATTATAATGATTTATTTTAAATTAAAGATTTTATTATTCAGATCACTAGGTTTATTTAATGTTATTAATTATTATTTATTAATAATAGTTTGAAATAGTATCAATAGATAATAAAATTATTTCTGAAAAAAAATATAAATAAATAATGACTTTTATAAGATAATATTTAAATTACTTTTACTTATTTTTAATAAATATTATTTATTAATATACAATCACGTATAAAAATAAATATAAAAACATTTCACAAAAATAATAAAAATAAATATTTTTATAATTTGTTCAGGTTATAGTTTTAAGTATTTTTTTAAATATTTCCTTCGAATTAAAGGTGTAATAAAATAAAAATGATTTTCTAAAAAATATATTACTTTTATTTTTAATTATATATAAATAATTATATTATATTTAACAATCATATTTTAATCTTAAACAAAAACTAGAAAGATAAAAGTCATATATATATGATGTATATATGTATATATAATCAAAGTAAATAAAAGATAAAAAATAAAATATAGATTATGCTATTAATATAATCATTTTAAAGTTTCAATTGTTTTATATATAAAATAAAATAAATATAATTTAACGGAAAACAATTTATATATTAGTATATAAATATATATTATAAGATATTAAGTTGATTTTAAAGTGATTTATTTAATAAACTATCCAATAATGCATCATTTACAATAGAATGAAACATGTATTGGATCAGTATATATGTGTCTAGTCCAATAGAATTTTTCTATTTAAGCTATCTTATAATTGGTTGATTTTTCATATGAAAAATGAAATAACCAATCAGCGATTTAGTAAGTGCAAGGAAGTGCCCTTCTGGAATTTATTCGATTGATGATGTAGTTCCTGTAAAATCCGCATAGCTTGGCTAAGAAGTCAGCTTCTGTAAGAGAGTCGTTTATCTCTATACGACCGGTGCTTCTGTGCAGGTTCCGCTGCATGTGCTGACATCAAGGTGCTTGGAGGACTCATACATTGTACTGTTTTTATAATTAACATTATTGTGGACTGTTGTTATTCGTGAAAACTTTCTGTTTTCGTCGAAGCATCTCGTTTTGCCGGGAAAAGCAGTGAGTTGTGTCGCGCATAAGTGATTCCATCGGGTGAGTGTATAACGCCATAAAATCGGCTTTGCCGATGTTCTTTGATTCGACTCATAGGGAAGACTTGAGACCGTACCAGGAAGGCAAGCATGATATGAGACTGTGAAGAGTGCTGCCCATTGTTAACGAATTAACTAAATTTGTAGTTCGTAAATTATTTTTAAAATTATTGAAAGTTTTGATGCTTGTGATAAATGATATTTGTTGAAATATTTTATTAAAATTTTACGCTGAGAAGTTTAGCGTTACTATTTCTCAGATCAAGAAAAATCGCCATGCTTGCTCATGCAACCGGGCGGCCCCTTTGCCCTCGACCTCGCACTTCGCACAGCACACGAGTTGAAAGATGATCTACAGATTTTTGTTTTCAAGTAACTGCTTTGCAAGAGAGATTCTCGTAATTTTTATATTTACGCAAGCACATGTTTTTATAATCGTACATGTTTTTGATTATAATTTAATGCAGAAATTACCGAAATTATAAAACATTTTATTATATACATTTTTAATATAAATTTATGTTCTAACATTATTGTCTTTATTTCTCATATAAAAAATTATATATAACAGCATGAATTGCTCTAATTTAAAATATTACATAGTTTTTATAATGAAATTGTATCAAAACAATTTAATAAAATTAATTTTAAGCACATTATTCTCATGTGATATCCATAGATAGCCACTTTGATTAATGTGCATATTTTTAATTTTTATCTGATTATATATATTTGTTTTTTATAATCAGTTTTTATGTTTATTTTGTATTTATATATATGAATATTTTTTATATAATAAATAAATAAAAAATATATAATAAATTACTTAACATATAATTTTTAAATACATCTTATATTTCTATATTATATACATATACATATATATATATACACATATATATGTTAATATATGTATACATATATATATTTAATTTAAATTATTTGTTTTGAATTCAATTTATATATATGATTTAAATGTTTACTATTAGTTTTAAATAAAATTAAAATATTTATATATTTTATATATTATATGACAAAAATGTATATTTGTATAAACAATATAATACATTATGAGTATTTTTTTTCTGTTACAGAAATCTAAACTTTTAATTCTCACGATTATTATATACTATTGCTGTTTAAGCAAAGTACTATTTTAGAAGTTAGAAATAAGAAAATGGTCATGGAGGCATCCCCTTCTCCACAAAATGTCGGTCGTGAATTTGTCCGACAATATTATACTTTACTTAATCAAGCTCCTGCGCATCTCCATAGGTAATTTAATAATTTTTATAAAAAAAATTATATCTTTATTTCATATTACTAAAAAAATTATAATTTTAGATTCTATAATCAACACTCTTCTTTTGTACATGGAGGATTAGATTCAAATAGAGAATCTACTCCTGCAATTGGCCAAAAGCAAATACATCAAAAAATTCAACAATTAAACTTTCGAGATTGTCATGCTAAAATAAGTCAAGTTGATTCACAATTAACTCTTGAAAATGGTGTTGTTGTACAAGTAAGATATGATAATTTTAATGATTATAAGAAATTTAATTATTTTATACTTTTTTATTATCTTTATTTGTCTTTTATTTATCTTTATTATTGTATTCATTTAAAATATTAATTTATAATTAATATTTAAAAATTGAGAAAAATTTTTAATAAATTTATTATTAATAATTAAATTATTTATAAATTAATAAATTATTTATAGGTATCTGGAGAATTATCCAATGCTGGACAACCAATGCGCCGTTTTACACAAACATTTGTTTTGGCTATACAAGCACCAAAAACATATTATGTACATAATGATATATTTCGTTATCAAGATTTGATCTTTCCTGATGAAGAGGAAACGGATGTAGGTGTTGTAGAAGGAGGTGTAGGTGAATCTGGAGAGAGGGAAGGAGAAGAAGGAGGTCGTTCTGAACCGGAAGAAGATGAACATCAAAATCGAGGGCAACAACTTTCAGCACCAGCTGCATCTACTGAGCCTCAAGCTCAGCCACCGCTTATCCCTGCACAACAACCTGTACTACAACAGCAACAACAAATATATTATCCACCACCGCAACAAACTCATGTTAGTTTAATATTAAATTAGTTTAGTATTAGTAGTTAATTAGTAGTTAATTAGTAGTTAATTAGTTTAGTATTTAGTATTAGTTTAGTGATTAAATCATTTAAATCATTCAATTCAATTCAATCACTATATAGATTTAATATTTTAGGTACATCCCGTAATGCAACAAGTACTAAATGGATCGGTTCATGAAGAAACACCATTGATCAATCAACAACCACCACCTGCACAGCAGCAACAACAGCAGCAACAACAACAACCACCTCCACCACCTGCTCAACAACATCAGTATATAACTGAAACTACATCACAAACACAATTTGTACAAGAAACAGAATTGGATTCCACTACTGAGCAGCAACAACAAACGGAAAATGAACCACAAGTACAATCAAATGAAACTCGAGAACAACCTGAAACTGAAACATTTACTACATCTGTACAAGAATCTGAACCAGAACATCAAGTGGCAAATACAAATGTAACTAGTAGTGGGCCGAAAACATATGCTAATCTTGTTAAATCATTCCCCAGTACTACCGGAGCTACCAGCCCTCAAGCCCCCAAATTATCTATGTCACCGGTATATATTTTAATTATGATAGTTATTTTTAACAACTAATGTCATTTATTTTGATATTATATATATAAATTAGATATTTATAACAAAATATAAATATAAAATGCATTATAACATTTGTTCTCAGCCTCCATTGACAAACTTACGTTTAGACGATAGATCACCATTACATCCGACTAATAGTGGACCTACACTTTCTACATCAACTAGCGTTTCCACGCCTCAACAACAAACTCATAGAGTTGGCAATCAACAACCACAACAACAGCAACATCAGCAACAACGAGCTCCAAGAGGAGGGGCAGTGCAACGAGGTAAAGACATTTATTAAAAACATAAATAAATATTATTTTTTTATATTACATTTTTTTTTTTTTTACATTACATACTTTATATTACATTCGTAATAATATTCATAATATTATTAACAATTAATAATATTCATATTATAAATAATAAATTCTTTAGATGGCGATCGTCGGGGAACAAGACAAAGTCAATATAGTGATGCTCATCAACTCTTTCTTGGAAACTTACCGCACAATGCATCAGAAGATGATTTACGTCAAGTGTTTGAATCTTATGGTAGAGTAGTAGAGTTGCGTATACACAGTAAATCAAATGATAGGTGCAAAGGTCCACAAGGAAATAATACAGGAAAAGTGCCTAACTATGGATTTATCACTTTCG